GTAAAGGAATGAGAACTTTATTTTGTTATAATTTAGATCATTAGGACCAAAACAGTGTGCAATTAATATAGTTTACAGTACTGAAACACTAGCACGCATGTCTTAACTCCAACACGCTGCCAGGATTTAATACTGGAATTCTACAACGACTGGACTCAAACTTTTGCCTCCTACTGTATATATATATATTATATATATATATAATATATATATATATATATTATAATATATATATGCTTAGCTTGGCTTCAACTTTTAAACTCAACCTGAAAAGAATAAAGGGTATAACCTAAGATTTCTGCTAAGGTCTTAACTGACTTGAGGATTTAATTCAAAGATATAATTTGCTTGAAATTGAAGGTAGGATTGGTGGCTAGGATGCAGATAGATTGTGCCACATCCAAACTCCTGTAAATTCACATGCGTATATTACCTTTTTCATTTCACCAATAAGTTCCGAGAATAAGCGAGTCGTGCTCTTTCTTCAAAAGCGAGTTATCTTGAGTTGAGCCATTCCAGCCACAATTTATCGGGTATTAATCTCTTGCTCACGAATTTCATCTTCTGGTGGCTTAACTCGGCTTCAAGTCGTAGTGAATTCTGGATTCTGCGTGAAATTAATAAAGACGACGTTAGTTTTATAACCGCGGCTTTTAAAGCCAACACAAGGCGAACAAACCTAGATCCAAAGACATATAGCACGTGTTCAAATAGGACCATTTGGCGGATACATTCGCCCAAATCTTCCATAAATCAAGCAGATAATCGTGAAAGCAAAAGGCATATTACCTGTTGTTACTCCAACGACAGGGCGACAGAAACGGGAAACTATCTTTTTTGTAAAAGGACGGACAGCAAATTAGTTGTAATTCTTCTGAGTTGTAAGGCTTCCTTATGCCTCGAAGACTACTGCCAAAATGATTGCTGTGCAATGTGAATCAGTTTGACCTACTCCTCGTGTTGGAAATTAAAACTATGCTATTTGCTAAAAACACCCGGCATGACAGCTCAACAATGATTCTGATTGGATATAAATTGATATGATTAATTCTTCTCAAGCTATGAGTTGGAAAAGATTGAAATTTTGAATTGTGATGTGAATGAAACTAATTATGCTTTTGTTACGGGTCTGTTCCAAACATCATCTTGTTTTTAAACCAAACGTATAAAAACAATATAGATAATCATTATACCAGGGATTCATTAAGGCCGTTTTCCATCTCAACCGTATCGTAGCGAAACGTAGCGTATCTCATTGTAGTCGTTAGTGCTAGTCGAATACTTCGGAAAAAAAAGAAATACGCTACGCTACGTTACGTTACGATTGAAGTGCAAAACAGGCTTTAATTTAGTTCCTATAACCGGAACCAAGGATCCATTGCGTTATAGGATGTATTAAAACCCCCCAAAACTATTGAAATCACCTATTGTTAAACTTTTGACTTGTTTGGTAAATTGTAATTATTGGTAATAAAAATCATTTGTGGGTACAAACAACACGGTACTTTGGCATTCAAACTCTAACTATTACATTGTTATGGATAATTTCAATGGTTTGGGGTTTTTTGGGGACACCCTGTATTCCGCTAGACCACAAAACATTTTGTGCACTAGTGAGGAAACTCCGACAAAGGAACCCAGATTCTTTGGACAAGTATGTTAGGCCCGTTTCAGACGTCGAACTTTTCATGTGCCGAACCTAATATTGATGAGCTAAAGTCTTTGTTTAAGTTCATTTGCATTCGATTCGGCACATGAAAAGCTCGACGTCTGAAAGGAGCTTAACTCCGCGCGTAACTCCCAACTGCCAAAAGACGTAGTGTTCACATATACCGAAACTAAACCTATGAACTAAACAGACAATAATGATCCAGCTATCTTTAAAACACTGCGGCCGGTGGAGTGGAGTACAATACACGGGCACAAACTCATATATGCAAGCAGTGCTGAACATGTACGCTTGCAGTTGCGGACCTATTTTTCCTTAGACGTCCGATGGCTTCCCGATTTTATCAAAATTTTTAAGGCTATGCTTTATGTGTTCAAATGTATTGTTTTCATGAAAAAATCTTATTCCATTTTTCTTCGAAACATTTGGGGTATATTCAACGAAATTTTAAAATTTCAAAGAATTTTTACAACTCAAAGAATTGGGAAAATTGCGACTTTTCCATTGGCTTTGATCTCCCGTTGCCGACTTGCCGAGGATTTCATTAAAATTGCTTTCATGAAAAAATGTTCATTCCACTTACTTTTGAACTATTTTGCGTTATTCAGACTGGAATTTTGGAATTTTGAAATATCGTCAGTTGACGAAAATTTATGCTGAGAAGACAACTGTGAGTAGAAAAAGGAGTAACATAGGCTACAGCAATAATATACACTATAAAGCACACTGGTAGTCTGGTACAAGGACCGCGGAGCAATTTTTGGATTGGGGGGGGGGGGGCTAGCGAAGCCGAACGAGTGAACCCTCGGGGGGTCCATACTTATCTATTTATATTTTTCTTGTAAACACTTCAATGAAAATATTGTTCACCAACACGGATAGTGAACACATAATTATTATTACACAACTTACTATAAGGAGTTTTTATTCGTATTATTATGACCATATAAAAATCGCTATAAAGGAATCACATGTATTTAGAAAATTATTGGGAGGGCTAAAGCCCCCCAGCACCCCCCCCCCCTCCATGGTCCCTGTGGTATTAGTATCTTCTTCTGGTCTTAATATCATCTTTAAAAATCATCATGCATAAAATATAAACAGCAACAAATATGTTTTATTTTCTATAATTTGGTCACAATTGACAAACTCTAATAAAAATATTATTTTATATGTTTTAAATTTTCTAATATAAATATAAGGGTTTAAAATAATATGTTAATAATATTTTCCTGTGATATTTATGAACACATTCATATTTCCAGGAGCTATATCTAATCTAGTATTGGAGTGTTGGCTAAGCCAAAAACAGCAGAAACATACATTTTCTAAAAGAAAAATTCTCTCAGGTGTCACGAAGTGGCTGTTATTTTGAACCCTGGATATAAATAGCACTATATAGCATGTTTCTAAAGTATACTTATTTACTATTGTTAAATTTTGAACATAATTACTGTAAGAAACAAGAATAAAATCCTGGTTGAGTATTTCAACCAGAATGCAGATGATTTTGATGGTTTTATTCCCAATGTACTCAAGATTTTCACATGTGTTGTTGGTACTTCATCATTGGTGACTGTATCATTGGTGACTGTAACATTGGTGACTGTAACATTATCTGTAACATATTCTTTAAAAATATCTTCTAAATGCTTGCTTACATTTTCCTGTAGGTTAACATCATCAAATTTATTACAAAGACCCTGACCACAGCAATGCAAAAAGCAGCCATTTCTTTTAGAACACCATTTTTCGCCGCAAACATAATAGTGAAAACAACCTTCTCTGTATTGTAGTGTATTGTTTATATAATAAGCATATAAAAAACAGTAATCTGTTGATTCATTGCAATATACAATGGTCCGGTTGCATTTTGGTACTGTTTGATTCACTTGATTGGTTAGAACTGCTGAACATGAATAGCAGTGGGCATGTTGACAGTAAACTCCTAAATGAGAAACAAGCAATTTTATGCTAATATTGCAAATTGACTTTACTACCACCAGTGGGTTTATTTATGTCAAATCTCAAACTCACTCTTTGTCTAAACTCACTCTGAAAGTGGAGTTACATTTTTGTTGTTTAATTCTCATTAACAACTGCATGTACCCATAGCCGTTCAAGTATTAAATTTTATATGGCCAACATGAAACACATATGGCAAAGCTGAATTTGCTGCTTTGCTGAATAATCAGCAATGCCAATGGCCTATTACTTTCTATAACATTACTGCTGAACATCACAATTTTTATGTAGAATATTTGTAATTTAGCAAAATTGTTGCACACTTTAAGATGGTGGAGTTAAAACTTGTATTAATCATAAGATCTCTTCATTTTTACAGTGAAATGTTTAATATTCTAGACACGATTTTAGACATTCTCAACATTCAATATTTATTAAGAGATAAGTCCCAATATAACCAAGGAGCAGCGTGGCAGCATCTTCAAACAACTTAGCATCAAATGTGGTATAACAACTGCCTAAATAGACAAAACACTTCTCGACGTTTCGACCTGAGGGCCTTCGTCAGGAGAGTCGGTCGAAACGTCGAGAAATGTTTTGTTTATTTAGGCATTTATTATGAGAGCCTAACTGATTATAATTGTTAAAACCTGTGTGTAGAAAGCGAACTAAACGGTATATTGCTAGCTAGTTTGGTAGACTATAATTCATTGAAGATAAAGGACGTATCAAATAATCTTTTCTTGAACTTCTTCGGTATTTTGAAATCCAAAGAAACTATAACACCAACCGTACCTCGTATTAACATGGATAATAAAATCAAATAAAGTCTTTTAACTATCCATGCTCGTACCCAGTACGAGGTTGCTATAAAACATCGTATTTGTTACCATACCTACCTACATATAGTCTGCTGTAGAGGAACGATAAGAATATTGTTGAAAATAAGCAAAACAGCTTCATTTGCAAATATTCTTTGGCAATATTTACACAATTCAATGTATTGCGTCGTAGGTTGAAACTTTCATATGTTGATGTTTGGGCCTTTGGGGGCCTCAGCCACAGCTTCAGCGCATGCTCAGAGCCAAATATAATTGCCAAATATAGCTTGAAAAGTGGCCAAGGCCCAAGTTTAGCCAAACTTTGCCGTAAGGGCCTGTATTTAAAAAGCTGAAAATTATTTAATCATTTAAAGCTAAGTAGTTTGAAGCAAAGTTTTAAAAGCTTTTGCATTTGACATTAACTTCCAATGAATGATATTAAGTGAAAGTCAAGTCCGTATTGTAAACAAATGGTTAGGATATTAATTCTTACATTAGACGGCCCTCGTATTGTTTAGGATGTAAAAATCACCATTATTGCTGGAAGGATAGTTTTTTTATTTATCAACAATTATTTACCATACAGAAATTTGATAATTATTAAATAGAAATAATTTATTACCGTATATCTATGCTGTAACAAAATACTTCAAGAATTGACCAAACGAAAACGATGGCAGATCGCAACCTCGTGCCGAGGGTGTTCTCTGGGCACGAGGTTGGGCAGATCGCTGCCTTTCAAAAAAACATGACTGATTCGTTTTTTTCGTTTTGGTCAATTAATAAAAATCTAATTCCTCCCAAAATACAGTACACCTTTCTCTTACAAACCCTTTTCAAACGCTACACTTCATTTCACCGAGAAGATAAGTTCACGAGTTCTTTAACTTTTTACTTTGGATATTTTACCATTTCATGGTTTGTTAAACCCAGCATTACTTCCACGCAACATGTATACAGTGGGCCTTATTAATAATCGTCACCTCGACTTAGAACTTCTTTTACTGTTGGACGCAATACTAATGTATGTTCATATTGAGCTGTGTAACTTCCTTTGACATCACAAAGCGGTGGATAAGGGTCAACAAGTCCAGAGTCACAAAGATTTCTTAAAGCCATGAGATACTTAGTCTAAAAAAAATAGAAGATATGTAGCTCCAATATAATTAATTATAATTTATTTTTCATTTACTATCACAAATGGAATTAAAAATACGTAAATCTTAACCTGTCCCAAACGGTCCAACCATCTTCTACAAAAGGCTAAAGTTCCGAAGTTTTCATTGATAACATGAAGCAACTGCTTTGCTCGTGGTAATCTTGTAAGAAAAGATTAAAGTGTGCGTATAGAGGTAGATGGTGTGGTAAAGAATGAAAATTTTAATAATTTTCGGGTGTCTTTATCTGATCAGGCTATGCTATGAGACTACTAATATTCATATAAATAGAGAGAGTTATTTTCTGTTTACAAAGAATGATTACCTTAAAGGTATATGTCCAGCATCAAAGTTCTTCATATAGTGAGAACACTCCATATCATCATGAACGTATCCCTTACCAGTACTACCAAATGTCTCAATGGCGTAAAACTCATTTTCCTAAATATCACATGAATATTTCCTAATATATTTCCTAAATATCATATTTAGAGCCAAGATAAACAGGTGGATGTTTCAGAAAAAGTAAAGTACATTATTTACCTCCATTTTTGTCGCCTCTCCACCCTTAACTATAGGCACTGTTTTTCCCCCATGAACTCTGTATTGCCCAACTGAGTGACCATTCAGGTTCCTTATTGCTTTGACTATAGAAGGAAATTTCTGATAATATTTCTGTTATCTTCTGTTATCTGGACAACATCAAATATTAACATTCATACGTATAAACGGCGTTATTTATCTCACAGACGTTGACTGTGCGACTGACTTTATTCCCTGGTCCTAACTCTATTACTCACCTAGTTTAGACGTCGCGTTTCGGTCGCATCGAATGCAAGACAACAGATAGCGAAATGATGTGTCTTTTTAGCCTTTTTTTTCATCTCATTTATCGTCTTGGTTGCATTGGATACGACCAAAATACGACGAATACGCCAGGTCTACAAGAACACTCGTGTATTCCCCAAATCAGTCTAAAGACCCGTTTACACTTGCAATTTTTGCTGCGATTTTCTTTTTTTGATAGATGTAAACGAGTGAATTAGTTACTGATGTTCAAATAAGAACTCTTATACATCAGAGCATTCGTAACTAATTACTCGTTCACATCTATCAAAAGAAGAAATTAAATCGCACATAAAATCGCGTAAACGAGCCTTAATGAAAGCCTTTCATCTATGAAGTCGTTATGTATCTTCCTGTGAGTGTGTGGGCGACCTAACAGCGGTAATTCTCGCAAGGCTGATTGAGAATCTATAACCCACATTTTACCTGGATACGTTTTACCATTTATCTCCACTTCGTACGATTCCATAACTTCTTGAATTGCTTCTCCAATATCACAAAGTCTGACGTCAATCCCTGCTTCCTATTGGTTGAACCAAATTATTATAGTGTTAAACCAATACGAAATGCCAAACAATATTGCCAATATGAATACTTGTTTGTGCATATGATCAATTTCTTTTCACATTGATTATTCTGTTCACATGAATATATGAATATGTCCCCCCCCCCTCTCCTCTAGTTATCCTGCTTCCTACACTCTGATAACCTAAAATATTACGTGGATTACAAGAAACACCAATATTAACCAGCATAAGTACTGTGAATTCATATTCATTGGCTATACTGGCAGACAGGCATACAGGGGGGGGACAACCAGAAGCAAGTAATGTATATATTGAGTTTGACCAACATTTGGAAAATTTCTGCTTAAGTCACGAGAAGTCGTTAAAGGACAAGAATAAGTCATGATAAGTCATTAGGGACATGGATAATTTTTGCTGAAATCATTTTGCAAATCCCCACCCAGACATTTCTAGGACTGTACGCCTACAGACAAAGAAATAACGAGGTACAATGTCTCTAAGTTTTTGCAAGTTGCACATTCTAATTAGATTTAAAACAACTTACTCTAATTCCTGTATTGGTTGCCTCTCTTACAGCATTTAATAGTGGATCAAATTGTGGATTGAAAGCCACAGTAAATGCACAGTCAATGATTCTTCCTATAAAATAGACAGTTTATGGAAATATTGGAAACATTAAATAAATTAGACAATTTCAAATGTCAGTGCATGAAGTAGATAGAGTTAGTGAAATGCTAAGCAAATTTCCAGGAAAGTGACATACCATTAATATGAGTTCCAAAATCAATTTTACAGACATCATCATACTGCAAAACTGTTTTATCTCCAGCATTTGGAGTATAATGTGCTGCACAATGGTTGATAGAACAACCTGTTGGAAACGCAAGACCTAGAAAAAAATTTGAATTTTAGTTAAGCTTGCCATGATGGGCCTTCCACTTTAGAGTAAGTTAGGATGTTTGATACATTTCTAATATTATCCTTCAGGAATACAGTTCTGTCTAAAATGCAGAACCTTTTCCATCTTCTAATTAGGCATGCATTGTCTGTGCTTTCAAAGGCATATCTTCAAACTCACCTGCTTCAAATCCTTTCTCATTGATTAATTTCCGTGATGCAGTTTCAAGTCTTTCACTAAAAAAAATGATGAATTAGAAAATATGTATCCACATCACATGTACCTGTGTATCATGATTGTTTACTGCATTTAACTACATAATACTATAAGACAACTTCACTGCTGAATGGAGAAAAAGCACTGACTGCAGCAAATAAAATCTTATTCATTATTCATCAACTTATTACCTGTTACAACTAAAATTGTTTTAAAACCCACTCAAATACACCCTTTCCCAGCTATCCGAAAACCACTTTTGAGATTACACTAAATCTGCGGCACTGAATATACTACATTGTACTTATGTTTGATATAGAATGCTATGTCATTTCACAGCTTTATTTCATTGAACTATTCATGGCAATGCATTTTTAGGCTTCACAGATTTTGTGTCATACACAGTTGATTTGTCATAATTTTAACACTGGAAATAGGGTTAACCAAGTAAAATGTAATTACCAAATATCAATCATGGTTAATCCTGGTGTCAGGAAACTTTGAACATACTTTCTCACCTAGAATCAGAAGACATCATGTTTCTATACATTTAAATTCATTTTTAGCAATTTCATATTTCTTAAGAGTATATGTGGAGAACATTCAAATGTCATAACACCTGTCGATGAGCCTCAGCTGCTTGTCTCACTTCATTATAGAGATCCAGATGCATCCGATCTAAAGCTCTCTTTTCCTCACTTGTCACACGCCACAAATTACTATATTGATATACAGAGATGGTTTTAATTGTCTTTTAAATAATGTATAGTACACATTATTGCCTTGGGAAAGTGTTGTATATCTGGCACATACTCGTCTTTATAATTTACAACTTCACCCAGAGGAAAATTTCCATCAGGAAACAAATCACTGATTGCCACAGTAGGTGGATCTGTTTGAGTTAAATCTTAAAAATAAAAAGTAACCACATCAGGCTATATTTTATAGACTTACATACACCATAACATGATAGGTACATAATGGGTGTACATATACCATATATATCATCATAAATTATTGAGATTAGTTCTAAGTCATTAATAACAGCTGTCATCTCTTTTTAACTTTATGCTCACTCATTAGGTAAATGGCTAGAGGTCAGCTTAAAAAAACATTGCAGCTTTCATTAAAGGAGACTGGATGTATTATTATTTAACTATACTTACTAGCATTTCCAGATTTCTTTTTCTTTTTCTTCTTCTTTTTGCTTTCATTTGTTGTTTGTGCTACTTCACTTGTTTCTTTTCCTTCTTCCTCATTTTCAATACCTCATAACAAAATATCACATTTTTAATACATATGTGCTATTGACAACTTATCCATGAGCTTGTAAAAATGTAAAGTGATTTTGAACACAAATAATTTCATTTCAAAATTTTCACCTAAAAACTCAGTACAGTTCTCTAAATTAACCCAAAAAACAATTGGTCCAAGTAGTGTATTAACAACTAATAATTTTTCATGGAAATTATGGAAATAATTTCTGTGCAGGCACCAGCTCTCTGGATTCATTGATGCCAGTACCCTTCCAATCACCCCAAGCTTTGGTGAAAATAATAGCATATTTCATAGCAATGTATTTGTTTATAGAATACTTTCCTGTTTTTTTGTGTAATGTGATTCTCCAGGGACAAATTTGGCTGAGGTGCACTCAGGTGCAGATATATCATATTCGGTTTTTCTTTTTGGGTATTAAATTAGGTACATGAAATGTATTTACCATTGACTACATGCCCTTCTGTTGTGCCTTCTGGTATGTCTGCTCCATTATCCTCGCCATTAACTTCATTACTAGTGGCTAAAAGTATTTAATATAAATATCAATGCCACAAATCTTCATAATACAAAAGGTACTTTAATAGGTGCAACGTTATATCAAATATTAATTTCTACATAGGTCTGTTCAGGAAAGGTTTGAACTTTACAAAATTCAAACCAAGATACTCAAAAATCATTATAAAAACATCTGAGCATCAAGAAATACAAAATACATTATTAAACTGAGGCATTTACCGTGCAGTACTCAGTACTACGCACTTCTCAGCAAAAAATTACACCTACTCAAAAGTACTGATAAAAGTGTAAAACTTTGTTACTTACGTTTCCTTTTCTTTTTCTTCTTCTTCTTTTTTTTGGTCGCAGTTGTGTCTCCTTCTTGTACAATCTCCTCGTCTTTATTTTCTGCGATTTCTTCTGATAAAGCTAAGTCGTTTACAGCATTTTCCAATGTCGTAGCGGCCATTTTGATCGACTGGCACGTGAACAAATAATTAAAAATAGAACACGGTCTATGAAGTCGATTGATGGTTGAAACGAGGTTTTCAGATATGTTTTCCAAGGATTGCTATAACGCTGTTTCAATGTTAGACCGTGTTTAAGCTTAAAATCTTTACTGTAAAAGCATTGTTAAAAACCACGTTCGTGGAGCGCATACAATACTGATTTACATCAAGTATGAAACCTTTTTGACCCATGCACTTTTCACTAAAATAAAAAACACACTATGAAAATTGGAATGAAAAAAACCCATGTTTTTATAATATTTCATTTAACACAGGGTAAAGCACGACAACAGATGAAAAAAGGACAATTTTTTACTTGTAGAAAGAAAGGTGACTATGACTATGTACAAAAATATTTTCTAAAATAATTGAACCGTAGTAAACAAACTAGGATTGAATGACCTATTCTCTATAGAAAGACTATAATTTAACATATACTTCTATAAATACTGTACAATTTTAAAATATTTCAGTCATTAAATTCATTTCTTAAATTCATTTCTCTATGTTTCATATTGGTCATGAGCACTGAGGTTGCATTAAGGAACACAAAGCACTTCCTGTCATAATTTGTAAAGATTCTACTTCAGTCAAGTGAATGGTTTAGGTCAGCAATATACGATCAGTATGCCCAGCCCTGCATAGTTCCTGTGGTATCAGACAAAATAGTTTCTTTTTAATGTTTCCATATACTGACGGGAGGATGTTGATAATGGCGATGACGTCATATTTATGCCCTTATTAGTCCACATATCAGGTGAATCACTCGTGGAAACTAAGAAAAAATAATCAATGCAAGAATTACGGAATATTAGCAAGTGGATAGTTCCATCATTTCGCTATACGAATAAATCGTAAAAATTTAGCTGTATCAAGCCAGTTTTTCAGCAGTTGAAGGTTACACTAAGAGAACTAGAGAAATCATATTTTAAAATCATCTTGCAGAGGTTAGCCGCTCCAACCATGTACCTAAATCCCATTAACAACAATACTGATTGTGCTTCAATTTTTTACAAGATACTTACTTGAGTCTAAATGTCTTTGAATACTTTTACTAAGTTCCTTATCTACAGATTCCATGAACTTCTCTTTTGGCTGACAAATGAAATTAAAAGGTTAGGAAAAGCAACTCTAAAAAGCAACTTCACGTTTAAAATGAAATTGTTTTAAAGTAAATGCATTTTCCTTATTGTTACTTGATTAGGAATACAGATAAAAACCGTTTCCCTTCGTGGTGGACCCAATGAACAACACATGCAGTCCGTGGCTAGTTTGGCATTTTTCACACCTTGAAGACACCCTTTCCATGCATTAGGAGAAATTTTAACCACTAACCAGTGCAGACTATGGCACTGTAACTACTAAAATATTTTTACTTCAGTTTAAAAACTAAACTGACTAACTATCCGTGCTCATACCTGCGAATAGATACGTCCAGGACTTTTATCACTCGTGTTCTCCCTATAAGAAATATCTAAAGTACCAGGCGAATGATCAACTCTTGATAAACTAGTGTTGCCAAGAATCTTGTCTGTGCGAGACCTTTCTAAACTATATAAATAGAAAGAAACAAATAGCGTATTAAAATGTTCCTTCGCAAAAGCTTTAGATTTTACGAGTATGAGATTCGTCTGCCAGGCAATTATGAGATCTTGCGCTTTCGCTAGCAGAATACGTATGGATTCCATTCCATACGTATGAATTTCCATGAAATTGGTGACACCAATTGGTGGTGATAATAGTGGAAAAATATAATACATACTTGAAAAGTGTCTTAGACTCTGCGGACTTCTCTCTTTCTTGAAACAGTAAGTTGTTTAACTTTTCTTTTCGTTTACTCTCAATTTCATACATGTCCTATAATCATAAAATTATGTTTGGTACGGACCCTTTTATTTACCTGCCACATAAAACTTGGCAGCAGGATTGATGTTTGGGTATAGGCGGAGGTTGTTAATGTTTAAAGAAGTCGAACAATCAGGAATAAATTTGCAAGAAAATAGTGAAAAATTTGAATACAGTTTTACTAAGTTGCTGCAACATCTTTTTGCAATCAAACGTGTTTATAAAAGGATAAAGAACTTTGATAAACCTTGAATCGTTCTGCTTCAACTTCCACTGTTTCTTTTTGAGCTTGAAGTTTATGCAATTTTGACCGGTATTGTTCGTTATCCCTCTAAAACATATTCAAGAATTAATGTAGACGGTTACTACTGCATGAAGGTATATATAAAAACTACATGGAGCAGTCAGCACACGCTACTCTGGTTACTTACTCTGAGCTTTGAAATACTCTCCTCCATTTCTTTATTTTTAATATCTTCTTGTTCGTTACGAGATCGTTCCAGGACCTCTCGGGCAAGAGCCTGGTAACAAGTGTGCATTTAAGTGAAAATGTCTACATATACTGGTGAGAATACACGCAGGTCTGTCGCTAGAAGTTTATTTGGGGGGGGGGATATTCATATTTATATATTCGTCTTATGCCCGACTGATTTCTTGTTAGCTACTGTTTCTACGGTTGTGCGAACATGACCGACCACTGAATATACACAAATATAGGGTGTTTTTCAAACTTTAATTCTCGCTAAAAGCACTAGTGTATTTCATTACCTGTTCCTCCAAGTGAGCGTTGACATCTGCCAATTTGCGGTTAAGTTCAATTCGAGACTAAAGATTTGCAGCATAAAATAAACATTATGAGAAATTGATCATATACAAGGAAAAATTAGCAGATATACTAAATAACGGAGGTGTAAATCTTTATGAGCATTAGACGTTTATACAAACCTTTGCTTCAATGTCAAGTTTCATGCGATCCAGTTGAGCTTTCTCCACAAAATTTTCCTCATAATGCGCCTTAAAAATCAAATAGTTTTTCACGAAATATTTAGACCACCATCATATTACTATGAAGTTAGGACATCTGGTTATAGCATAGGCAGTCCGGTTAATGCGGCTACGTCATATAAGATAATATGGCGTAATCGCATTGACTGGGCTGCCTATGATTATAGCTGACGGATGCCAACGCTGTTGTGACCTTTTTTAACTAGCTGCCAGGACATACCTTATATAGCTACTTTTGTAGTTCAGTTTATTCTCTTTATTAGGTCAGTGTCTGAGTTGTAAAACAATGAAAGATATTCTCACCCTTAAATTATCGATATCATCCGTCGTTTGTTTATTCATTTTCTCTAACTTCTGGACTTTCCGCGTTAAATCCTGTAAAATAGGATGTAGTTTAGACAGCTGTAAACAGCTATGTAAGGCAGCTATGACAAAGGGTGGAGTTAAAAGAGGCGTTTTCAGCACAGTTTGGAAAAAAATTCAAAGGAAAAAATATAATTTTTACCTTTGTATGCGTCCTGGACAACATCAAGTCTAAAAAGAGAGAATATTCATCATGTATTTTGGAAAATATATCCAATCCCTGGCAGTAGCGTAGCCAGCCTGTCGATTTGTCCCGCTATGCTAATATTTTAATGTTCACTGACGGTGAAAACAATAGATTTCTAAAGACATGAATAATTATAATAACTCGAAATTTACATAGTGGGACAAATTCGTCAGGCTGGGTACGCCACTGATCCCTGGAGAGATAGTGAATCTTACCATTTTCATACAATTTTCCCTTTCGTTCAGCAGTGACACGAGCGTCGCTTTCTTGTCGTACTTTTTCGTTCATATCACAGAGCTGAAAACGAGGCAATAAATGAAAATGATTTATCATAACCACTGCACAACATCCGCGATTAGTTTCTACGTCCACGGTATATTAAAAACCATATATCTTGCACATAGTAATAACCCAGCCCCTTTTTTTGACCCGTTTACACCTGCAATTTTTGCTGCAATTCGTTAATAAAGCGATTTTCTTCCTTTGGTGGATGTGAGCGAGTAGATAAGTTACGGGATGTTTGAATAAAGACACTAGAACATCTATGCATCCATAACTATTCGCTTGTTTCCATTTATCAAAAGATGAAAATCGCATACTGCAGCAAAAATCGCAAACGGTGCTGATATTACTGGGGGGGAGGGGTCACAAAAGCGACAGGGATAAATCTAGTAGGAAGTGGGTGCGGAGCAACTGCCAATGGTGGGGTAGGGTACAAGCACCTGCTATGGGACAATGGAATGTATATTTGCTAAAAAAACGGGATCATATACGTGCTACTTAGACTGTCAGAGTCGCACAACTCCCAAGTACGAGATAACTATATAATTTCCGTCCACATAACTTCCGACTATATATACCTGGCTACGCAGTGATGTTATTGTGGTTTCGTATTGTTGAGTTTCCCGGTCAAACTCCGCTTGCAAAGTTGGAATGCGGTTTGAGCTGTTCAGTAGATCCTAAAGAGAAATCATACATCTTGTTGCATAATTTTCATAGGTCAAACTGTACAAAGTCTTTCAGGACAATAGGGTTGTATATATACTAAAAAAACAAGGGTTGTATTGTATATTTGCATACTACATGTAAAAGAAGAATAAATTTTAAGGATTGGTACTTTCAAACGTCGTTTGTAACTTTTAATTTGCGTCTTTAATGTCTGCACTTCTTTCTCGTGTTGATCAGCTCTGTTAAAAAGGAAAGAATAAGTAAGGTCTTTTCATATAATTTGGCGGCAACCACGTCCAGCGCGCCACGTGCACAAAAGACCCTGGGGATAGGATTGTTTTGCCGAATCCAAGTCACTTCTGATGTATGTTATTGTTATCGATAAAGAGTCAGTACTGCATTGGTTTTAGTTCATTTGCTGGCAATATACAAGTAAATAGACTTGCAACGGATTTCCTGCCTATACACATGTCAATAGACTATAACATACATCAGCAGAAGTGAATTGGAGCCAACAAGATTGGATCGTGTGAACATGCAGACCTCAAACAAGGTATATACAGCACAAGCTATAATTGAATGTGTTCTTTTTTATTTGTGATGAAATGGATATACTTATTGTTCGCACCTTTTTTCATATATATCCAGTTTTCCTTGCATCACTTTTCGACTTTCCAAAGCTTTACGTACTTTCTTTTTCTCCTGTGAAAAAAATGATACATTTTCATGGTTCACTATGGACCTGTATTAACCTACGGACAAACTAGTATTTTCTATATATCATATATATATAGAATAATACCTGATCAATGGCAGCTTTGCTTTCACCGAGATTTGTTTCCATTTCGAGAATCTAGAAATATGAATTCATCTCAGATTATAGCGGCTAGTCAGAACCGTTTTGTTGGGCTTCATTATCCAGGTGATCTCGGGCTCATATTTCAGCCAATCAGCGGTCAGAAGATTTCAGATCACCCAGACATGACAGGGCAGAATATAGCACGGCCATTTTGAAAAAAACATGGCTGTATACACTCACATATAAAGAAGTATAAAGAAGAAAAGAAAACAGAAGCTCATGATACACAATTCGAATATTAATCTCCAAGACTTTTGAAATAACAATTCGTTTTATTTAATAACAATTGTGTTTTAAAATTTGCAGCAATTACAACCTAACATTCCTCTAAAATCTTAGTGATGAATAATCATAGGCGGCCCAGAACTGATCTCACTGACCTCGCGCTACGCTCATGTTGTCTGAACAGTCTTATATTATGACAAGGTTGGCAACTCTCACGCCAAATAAGCTAAAAACGCACGACGGTTGACCCAAACACCTTCACAAAACCGCAAATATTTCATAAAAATATGGCGAATAAGAAAAAAAAAGTACAACACATTAAACTTGAATAATTTTACTACATTTATACTATATTTTTAGCATTCAAATGTATTCCTATGCATGTATAAAACGTGAATGTTTTTTGGGTTTCTGTCAAATATATTTCAAAACCTATGCTGGGGACACTTTGCCTACACCTTCGTCATATTTTTAAATTGAGAATAGAAAGCTGATTGGCTGTCGTTTAAAAAGAGCGTGTTGAAGGTGTTTGAGTCAACCGTCGTGCGTTTTTAGCTTATTTGGCGTGAGAGTTGCCAACCTTGTCATAATATAATAAGACTGTTCAGACAACATGAGCGTAGCGCGAGGTCAGTGAGATCAGTTCTGGGCCGCCTATGGAATAATACGATACCTTAGCTCCTAGTTTAGACCTGGCACGCACTTCTGACTCCCAAAGTCCTTTAGCCTCCTCAGCTTCTCGAGCTAATTGTGTTTTATCAAAAGACTCGGTCTGGGAGAAACACATTGTGCAGTATTAACACTAAGTGATGCACGGGGGGGCTTTCAAAGGAAGCCAGGGGTATAGAGATTTCCGGAGGACTCTTTCCCATTGAAAATGGCTTACGTCCTTCTTATTCATATTTTATTTCATCATCGGAAACTTGCCTCATTGTCCCACCCTCAGAGAGACCATCGAACTATGCTATTTTGGATTTAGATTTTGAGACTTTTGTGGTTACTCATATGAAGACAAATTTGACCAATCAGCAATAAATTTCGACCAGTTAAGCGAGCGAAAATTGCAAGTACATGCAGTAGAGTGAATACGTACACGTAACTGCTCTTCCAAATCAATATTTGAAGATTTAATCCGTGAGAGCAACGACTCTAATTGTGTTCGACCCTGCAAATCAGACAATAGTAAAATGCATAAAGGCCTGTTTATACTTGCAATTTTTACCGCGATTTTACGTGCGATTTTCTTTTTTTGATAGATGTGAACAAGTGAATTAGTTACGGATGTTCAAATAGAAGCTCGTATACATCAGACGATTGCTAACTTATTACTAGTTCACATCTATCAGAAGAAGAAAATAGCGCATAAAATCGCAGCAATCGAAAAATATGCAAAACATAGCCAGTGAGGTGTAGCTCTACCGACACGAAATTAAGTAAGAACAGGACGCTGGCGCGATACTAACAAATCCTTTTTAATGTAGTCACTCAAGTCAAAATAAATAACAGATGTTCCAACTTCCAAAGCAGTGTGCTAGATGTGAAATTGTTAGTGCGTATGCAGTGTTATAATTAACTAATCGCGGAAACATGCATGATGACGCCAGACGCTCGTTACCTCATTATTTTCTTTAATTTCTCTCAGCAGAAGATTCGTTTTTGCTTTCTCTTCTTGCAAAGTTGCCTCCAAATTGACTCGGTCTACTTTAAGTTTTGTAACGTCGTCTTCTAAACCAGTCTTAAAAATTGTAATCAGAGACATTGTATTTTTGAATAAGACAAAAACATTCAGACGTGACGAACCAGATTCGTTAAGATATACTGCACCTGTGACCAAACTGAGTTTATTATATAATTTAGGTTTAGCTATGATAAGAATATATATATGTTTAGTTATATTTGTTAATAGTGCTCACCCAGTTTATGTTGTTAACGTTTTCCTCCTATATTTAGCAAAATGAATCAATCAATCAATAATCATTTGATGTTTTCCAAACATGGTTAATTCATTATGTTATTATGCTGATTATATCCAAATTATTATAGTATGATTAGTCACTATATATATATTTTATCAGTATATGATGATTACTGCGATGATTATTTGAACATGAGCCTATTATATTATCTTATGTTATCATATTGTTATTATATATTACGATGATTATTTTATATTAGTATTAATCATGATATTAGTTTCGTGACGGACACTGCTAGACATAAAATTGTTACTTCAAAACGGCAAGGTTAGTTCGATGCTCGCCCCGACTCCCTTCGCTTACGAGGTCCCTTCGGTTGAAACGGCGTGGTATATAACCACATTTCATAAAAATTGTTAAAAAAACGCTGGCAGACTGATCCCTGGTTCAGTCAACTTACCCTAATCTTTACGAGATTATCCAAATCGTATGCAGTCGTAGCCAGTCGTTCACTCGTCTCTTCCGACACTTTCCGAGAGTGTTCGAGCTCGTTCTTCAGTGCCGAAGCATGACCGTTCACCAATTGATTCTCGCTTATTTTTACAGTCATCTACAAAAGATAATGCTAGTTATATAGTCTCTTTTTCGAGTATCCTGCGTGGCGATGACATTCCAAGTAACGTTAAAGCCCAATATAAATTTTATTATTATCATTACAGTAAACGATCAACTTTCAGCATTGCAGAAATGATCATAGCAAAATAGCAATCGAGACAAAGAGAATCATACCTTTTCTTCATAGGTTCTAAGTGTCTTTCGCAAGTGATCACGTTCCTTTTCTAAATCGTCACGTGCCTAGAACGGGTTTACCACATGGTCTCAGTCAGCAGTTAGTTTGAAGATATATATATATTTCGCAACTGGATGGCTGCGACAGTGTGTTAACTACCTTCAGTTGAATTTCCAATGAAGCCTCAGCAGACGAAATCTTTCGAGACGCTTCAGCAAGTTCCTGTATAAGAAAGACGATAATGATTGAAAATCGAGATGAAAACATCTCATTCTAAAAATCAGTAATACTCACTTGGTGTAACAGCCGCATGTTTTCATCTTGTTTTTGAGCCTTTATAAAATTCTGTTGCATTTCTTCTTTGTATTTTTCAACAACATCTGCCAGGCGTCGTTCCTTCTCGCTTACTTTGCCTTTGGTCTAGAAATACGAAAAAATGATATGAGTATTCATGTGTTAAAATATTGCTTCAATCTGCCAGAAAACTATCCCGGAGTTTTTATTTCTACTTCTCTATCTAGACCACGTCTATTTGAATTTACAACCCAATCCTAACCAATTTCGTCAGATCATCAATGGAACGTAAAACACTACCTTTTCGAAATCCGTCTTAATTTCGGATAAGGTTGAATTAAGTTTGCTCTAGGATAAATAAGAAATATTTCCACCGTTATTCATCTTGTTCTGAGAGCCTTAAATATCAAATATTTATCGCTTCAATTACCTGCGTTTCCTGTGACGTTTCCTCTTGTTTTCGAACTTTATCAGCAGCAAGATCTAACTGACGACGTAAACTGGTCGCTTCCTTCTCTAGATCTTTCATCCTACGAAGCAATAATTTACATATATAAAAATAATTTTAGGAAGCTGTTGTATATATCACAACTGAAGTAGTTCCGTACTTATCTGAAGCTGATTCCAACCGAGCAGAAATTCTAGCATTCTTGTCCTGGGGAGAGAAAAAAGAATAAAAATAGAATATAAGGAAGTGCCAGTGACAATAGCGAGGTTCAGATTTGACTACCACTACGACTACCACAACCTTTGAGGGAATATAAACCAATCAAATGCGATAGGTCTATCAGACTAACCAATCACAGCTTAATAGATTAGCGACAGGTAGCGGTAGTGGAAGCCAAATCTGAACCTCGCTAAAAACTGGACGAATGCGTACAAAAGTGAACGCCATTTAAATTTTATTGCGACGAATCTCAAGGATTGGTTTTTAAGAATGCAGGTCACTCCAATTGTATGAAAACAACATTATACCTTCTCAGTTCTAAGATCTGACTCGAGTTTTGTTATGGAAACTCTCTTGTTGTCAATATCGTGCATGTTCATCGTCATCTGACTGGATCTTTCAGCAAGCATAATGTTAGCTGTTTGTAACTAGAAAAAAAGAGGAATTCTTATTTTATATACTTTCAGTGCTAGTTACTATATAAATGTTTATTCTTAAGTAGTTTCTTAGTAGTTTCTGCAGGAACAAAACTCTGGAAACAAGGCGAAGATAGTTAACTGTTCATAAGCAGCAATAACATGCAATAAACATAATTTCGTAAATGGTCCTAGATAAATACCTCAGCTTCCAGTGAAGATATTTTATTCTCTGCTGTATTGAGCTTCAAAGTAGTCATCTGATTTGTTTCTCGAAGTGATGAAACTTCTTTCTCTAACGAAGTCTTGCTCTTATACAGTTCATCACGTAAGTTATGAAGTTGCCTTGGAAAAATCACCATATTTCAATATACTGTGATGTTTCTCAGAGAATGCTAAAAACAGAGAAACCGACAACGAAATACCTTTCAGCATCAGCCCTGTTCTTATTTGCTTCATTTCGCTCGTTCTCGGTGCCTTCCAACCGACCGCGCAGCACCATCGCCTAGTGAAGAAATATGTTGTGTTGTCAACTACTTTGTACAATACCAATGCATAGAAAACAATTAAGACTCATGAAATAGCGAGGCTTATATTTGACTTGCACTACTGCTACCGGGGAACAGGCACCAATCAAATGCGACAAGTCTATCATATTAACCAATCACAAACGCAATAAAAGTGAGCGAGGGGTATTACTGACCTCAGACTGTAAGCCATGTCTTGCTTCCATTTCTGATTCCAGTTTATTTTGTTGTTCAATGTTTGCAGCTTGCATATGAGACATCTGAGTATCGTAATCTGAACGAACTTTGGCAAGATTGTCTTCAAGTCGTCTCTGGAGAAATTGTAAGGAAATTACTAATAAATCAGGTGTTGTAATAAACCAGGAAACTCCCTTATTATATGAGAGAACATTTTTCTAGGTAAGAAGAAAAAATTACATTCGACTGATTCGAGTTCAAACACATGGTGGCTAGCAGACTTACGCAATTCTCGGTTTGTTCCGCCAACTGTTTCTTCAGCAGATCCACTTCACTTTTGGATACTTTTGTTAGAGTTTCTAGCTGGGAGTTTAACCTTCCAATTTCACCCTAAGGTACAATACATAGATTATCAATAGGATTGTTATGTTTCATATAATTCAAGTGCAAATGCAAAGCATTTGACAAATGTTGACAAGGTCTGGACTTTGTCAAGCAGAGGTCATGTTATTTCCATGTCAATCTTGAAAGTTTCGCTATCTACTGGATGACGTTTAAGACTAATTATTACTAAGTAAATTGAGTTATATTTCACCTTGGCATGAATCAATTGTTCCCTCAAAGACTCTGAACTCGCTGCCACATTCTTACGATCTTCATCTGCACTTTCTAGTTTCGTCAGCACTTCAGATCGATGCTGTGAAAGCTGCAATACGAAACAGCATGCAGCACTGAGGTAATCGAGTCAACCGAATTCTGATGTTTACAACAAACTCGCATGTACATATCCATCTCGTATGGACACAACTGATGGCAAAGAAGCATCGATGTGTGATGCAATAAAGCCTAGAGTTCAACGCACCTTTTGTGATTCCATAATTATCGCTTCATTTTGTTTTTTCTGTTCCCGGTATAATTCATCCTTCAATCGGGATTGTTCTTGTTCTCGTTCCAATAGTTTCTTCAAATCTTCCAGCTCCAGAGCTATGTGACGTAAAGCATTCTCGAGATTTGCACGTTCTGCCTCCAATTTCTTACCAGTCTCTTCAGCAGCTCTGCGCTGTTTAATCTCTCTGTGAAATAAAGAAAAGAATTTGGAACCGTTAGAAGAGATATCACCTTCGTTTCGTTCAAATTCTCTACGACTTTACTTGGTAAGTTTTTCTTCAGATCGCCTCAGTTGATCTTTTACAGTCCCAGTCAATGATTCAGCGATCTTCTTATCTTCCGCTGACCGTAAACATTCGTGTTTCAGGGAACGATTCTCCTCGTTGATTTCAAACAATTCACGTTCAACTGCCGATTTCTGATTGATGGCATCTTCCAGTTTACTGTATAAGAATTTAGATAATACATTGCACGCTATTACCCTATGATGGTTTCCAAGAATCGAAAGCCCTAAGTTCGAAACGTCGAGAAGTCTTTTTGTCTATTTTAGGTAGATTTAACTACATTTCGACCTTTACATTTTGATTTTAAGGGTCCGGGGAGTTGTCTACAACCTTGCACACTTGTGGTCCTAAAACGTCATCTTATTCCAACTTCTAATCATAATCCCGATGAAACCCCGATGAAATTCAGATCTTAATTCAACATCATGAATAACTTTCACCTATATATATATATATATATATATATATATATATATATATATATATATATATATATATATATATATATATATATATATATATATATTACCTTTGCAGGTCATCGGAATGGTTTCCTAATTGCCTGACTTTCGTTTCAGCCAACGTCAGTTTTTCTTGATATTTTTCTAGCTGTCGCTTGCTTTCCCGTAAAGAGCTTTTCAGCTGCACAACAGCAGGGGAATCTAGGTCAAATACACATTTATTTTATTCAAATGTAGTACAACATGAGATAAACTTTAAAAACTAAACTCAGCCAATGTCATATATGAGTGTCGGACTGGTAGATGGTCAGGAACACAATACAACCACAAAGCTTTTCTATTTCCTCATATACAAATGTCTTATAAACTAGTCGGACATTTCCAAAATGTGATCAAAGAACAAACACGACTTGAAAGAAGTTATTCAGATTACAGCTCAATTGGGTAAAATCCCACTCAAATCCCCCCCCCCTGGAACTCCCACGCCAAAGTATTCACCTTATGAGAGATGGAAGGATCACCTTATGAGAGAGTTTTAGCAGATTTAGTTTAGGTTGTCTGTGAAGGATAACATTTTTTAAAACTTATGTTTTAAACATACTTTCTGTCACTGCAGTAGAGCTTGTCATAACTGGTACTGTTTGCAGTAAGGATGGTCGCGAGATACTGAGACCTGGTGACAAACTAGAACCTAGACCCGTCTCCCCGCTTGACAAAGGAGTTTTGGCGCGAGATTGTGGTCTGCCACGTTCATCCTCGGAGGACGTTGACCAATCAGAATGGATATCTTGTGGTGAGTGTGGATTGAGCTAAGAAGCGAAAAAATATTATTGGCCCGTGTTTCAACGACAAACTCATAAAAAAGCCTATATCTGCATGAAAAGGCTATGTACGTAAACACATATATCTATAATATTCCTTAGATAAACCAGAGCATGAAAATAATCAATTCCTGCTAGGATTAAGGCCAAGGATTTCAACCACTTCGTGTTAAGATTGAGGATAGTTGAAGGCTAAGATATTATTCACTTCGCGGCCAGAAATCAGAGGATGCAGCCACCACGTACAGCGTGTTAATTGGCTATAAAATGTCATCAACTGGCTGATGGCGGACAACGATGGCGGACAACATGCGTAATGTGACGCGCACAAGGACATTCACAGTTAAAGTTTTCGACTAAAGTGTTCTTCTAGTCCTCTCATTAATATTCTATGTTTTGGATTGAAATAAGTAAAGTCCACGTCGTAGATGGTAATTATGATGCTCCAGAATAAGCCAACATGTATGGTTTGTGGTCTAAAAGGCTAAATATACTTGGACGGGCCGAGAAAACGATATGATTACAAACCTTCTCAACTTTTGCGGAAAGTGGCATCAAATCAGAACTAGGAGATGGTGATTCCCATTTGTTCGAATCATTCAATTTACTGGTTTGCAGACGAACGGCTTCTAAATCAGCTTTTGCTTCTAACTGCCGTTTTTTTATCTCTTTAGAGCGATCAGCTAAGCGATCTCTGCTTTGTACCTTTTGGATTTCAGCAGTGGCTGTGTTTGCAGCATCTTCAACAAAACCTCGATGCTTTTCTGTCAACAAACGTTCCGCTTCTGTGGAGATAAAAGCAACACATTTTAGATGTCCGAACATTGATCATCCAAGCCATGAATATAGGGCCATGGTACTTTGCACATCAATGCAGTCCATCGCAAAACAACACGGGGAAATAATAACAATATGTATGAGCGAGAGAGTCTGATACAGTCATTTAAATATCGAAGTACTGGGTCAGAAAGGAAGCCACTACTTTGTACAGCCACTACTTCTATAGTTCTGAAATGATTTCTTGCACAAGTACACATCACTTCTGTATTTTCAACCGCTAAAATCATGTATTCTTCTACGCCTCAAACCTCATTCAGACAGTAAGACATATACACACATAGCCTTCAGAAAGTACCATCGGCGAATTTGGTGTGTATATTTAATACACAGCATCACTATACATGCACTATCTCTACAGCCTTTAATATATTCTTGTTAAAAAATCTACTCCTAAATAAACTGTTATATACCATTTCTCCAACGTTCAAGAGCTTCAGATGTGCCTTAATTTCAACCGCGTCCTTTCGTAAGCAGCGTATAAAGCTGTGTCAAAACTATTGATCGTCAACTTATGTCACCTTCAGTAACTTATAAGCAGGGATCAAATACATCATTCAAAGGCGTGTATTATAAAGTTTTGAAACTTATGCTTCTATAGCATAGCATAATACACTACCAAACCACAGCACAAAAGGCCTTAACAATTCTCGCACAAAAGATGAACAATCAACTCGACTTAATGGCAGGTAATCTACATTCTACACACACACAGCCTTTAATATTTTTAAAAATTAGGTATACATATAATGTGCATTTCCTTTACCTGCTAAATGTTGTAAAAAGAACACCATTTCTGGGAGTAACGTAAGTCTTATAGCAGATCTGACCCTGCCAATATTACAAAATATCCTCTAGACGCGTTGCCATAGTTACGTTGCGAATGAATATAAGAACTAATCTAGGTCATGTTTACATTATGGTAGCTAAATAAAGTCGAAATCACAGAAAAAAATTAAACACAAAGTATATACACACGTCAGACGTTAATCCAGTAAGTAAACCTTTCACATTATAGACTAATCTTTGCTTGTGGAAGGATTTTCATGCATCACTGTTCACGACATGGAGGGTTTTTTCCACAAGACATGGTCAAAGCTAATCAAGTGCGTGACATTGTAACCCCCCGCATTAAGAATGTCTGAAATCGAGATCAGGACCTCATTTAATGGCCGTGAATTCGTGAAATCTGCTGAAATTTAAGAACTCGTGAATTTTTAGAGCGAGCGATGGATAGACTGTGCATAACCAGCTTTGACCAACAAGTTTTAGAATAAAATAACTCGTTGTTAACTCGTTGTTAATATTTCCAGTAAATTTCATCATAATGATTACGACTGTTCTCACTGCAGATTCGAATACTCCGAATCTAATTACGCTGCAATTAGAAACTTTGCTTTACTTTGGAAATCAAGCCAGGCAGGTAAATGTATATTTAGATCATTTTCCTTTGGCGAATCTCAAAAGAAAGAAAATTCAAATAGTATCAAAGCCATTCGCGTGTCATGTTTAATGTTCTCTGTGAATTCTGCAGCTATATTCAGCCCCACGGGTCACGTGCGTGCCACGTTAAGGCTGAATTTTCGTCATGGAGTTGTGAGAGGTTTACTGATGTCTAAAATGGGTGCAACAAAGTGTAATCTTACGAGAGACATACAGTATACTTACGCATTCCCACTGGGGAGCTGTCGGTAGAATGGATTATGACCTCTGTTTCGTCAGGCATTGTCGACAAACTCTGTATTTTCTCTGACCTGAGAATAATACAATAAAACTAATTGGTCGTGTATTCTAAAAAACACTGAAATAAATCTTAAGCTACTAATGGTGAAAACCTGATCCTCGATCACTCTAACATAGTTAATCACAGCATCAAACCAAAAATACTTCCAAAAATCTTTGCAATATTTTGCTACCTCAATCTACTTTCTTCTTCACTTCTCTTTATCTCCTCCAGTCTTTCAATTTCCTTTCTTTTTCGTTCTTCTTCTAGTTGCCTTCTCTCTTCTTGTTTTCTTTTCATTTCATTTTCATACTCTTCTCTTTCTCTTTGTATCGCCATCTCCCGTTCTTTCCTTTGTCTTTCTAGTTCAGCCATTTTGCGGCTTTCTTCTTCCTGTCGCTGTTGCAACTGAAGACGTATCTCGTCCAGTCGTTCCTGCTCCTTGCGTGCCATGTCCTCCTCCATTCTACGCTCTTGCTCGAGAATTTCCTCTTGACGTGCTTTATACGCTTCGAGCAGGTCATCTTCTTCTCTTTGATATCGCCTCGCATCCTCTGTAATCCTACTGTTACTCCTAGGCGACATGTTTTCACCTGCGATTCCAGTACCACTTCTAGATGAACCACTATGTTTATGTTCTGTGATCTTACTACTACTCTCTGATGTATCGTGGAATCCTTCAGCTTCCTCATTGTATCTTGAACTCTCTTGTTTCAATACATCATCTTTCACAACTGGCTTCTCTATAACATTATTGTTGTTTCTAATTCTCTCTCGATCGATGATTTCTTGTTTTGAAGATGTCACTTCTTGCTCATCAACTGTCCTTTCCGATTCAAAACTACCTTCGCTTTCACTGAGGTCGTCCTCAGGACCCTCTGATATCCCATCAGATAATCTTGTACTTCCCTTACGATCACGGCTGTTACTCTCAAAAGTGCCTCCACTACCACCAGTGTCCCTACGATTGCGACTATCATTATCTGTGAAGGACAACTCGCTTCCCTCAGTGTCCTTACGACGACGGCTATTTTTGTCCTCAAAACTCCCTTCTCCTCCCACTCCATCCTGATCATTTTCAAGATCATCGTCATGACTGCTATCCCACTGAGAACTTTCTTGATCCTCGAAATCCCCAAGTATACTTGCTCGTCTATCAGCATCTCCCGAGGTTCCTTGTTGAACTGGAATAACGTCTGTAGGTGCTGAAGATATATCTTTTCCACTATTCTTATTATCACGTCCACCCACATCTCCTGTTATCGTTGGTTGTTCATTAGAAACTAGTCTTTGATCAATACTTCCTTTCATTACATTTTCATTTTTGCCATCATTGTACCCTGTTGTAACATCTTCAGTCCCTCTTTGTTCATTGCTATAAAGCAGCGAACCCTCGTCATCGTCAACTTGTGACCCTGACTGTACCTCACTTCCCTCATCAGATACATTGAAATCACTCTCAATTCCTAATTCGTCCTCAAGCTCTTTTTTAATCGACTTGGCTAATTCTTGTTCTTTTTCCTGCTGCTCTCGTTCCCAATCCTTTTGTCTCTGCTCCTCCTTCTCCTGTTGTTCTCGTTCCCAGTTCTTCATTCTGCTTTTTTCTTTCTCCTTTTCCTTTTTGGAAAAAATAAAATAGAATCCACTCAGGGGAATTACTAATTACTAATACATCTATATATATTTCTTCGCGAGACCACAAAATAGGAATACGATTGTAAATTATTTTCTACATTAAATGCAATAGCAATTTTACCTGGAAATAAAGTATGTGTTTGCTATTCGAGAGAGCCGATTGTTTGTCAGGGCTTCAAGACCTTACTTATAATTTCAGCTAATTTTCATACGTGAACGTACACCCCTCCAGTAGACCAGGACCCCCTCAGGCTCTGGACTAGGCTGGGGGTGTGCATCTCAAGTCAACCTATCCCTGTCCTCAACCATTCTTATTACGTACTCTTCTACAAACCTCTTGTAATTTCTTTTCAATTTCCATCTTTTTGTTCTCTTCAGCTTTCAATTTTGCCATCCCTTGTTCTTTCATTTTTTCCAATTCTTTTTTTCTCGTTTCTTCCTTCGTCGATTCACTTCCGGTCAACACTCCAGTTTTATCGTCAGTCAGTCCACGATTCTTGTCAACACTTCGTTCCTTTCCGGATCCTTCGGCAAGTGTTGATTTTTCTAATGTAGTTTTGCGTTTCTCGACAGCGGCTTTTAACTCGGAATCGTGTTTTGATTTCACAGAAGGTTTTGACGTTTGTTCTAGAAAACAAAGAGAATAATAGTGTATTGTGGCGCTAGGTAATAACTCACACATAGAAAACGAGTATAAAATTGTATAAAATTATATCATGCAACTTAGAAGAAGTAAAATTGTTTAGCCCAAACTTTAAAAGAAACAAAAAAGGCGTTAAATAGTCACTTTGTGTCGCCTCGCTGTATTATATATGAAATGTTTACAAGCCTAGCGCGTGTATGAAAAACACATGTTAAAATATAAAAAGAGCAATCCTAAATTTAGTCGCGTACATAAGGCATTCTTAATATCTTACCAGTTTCTTTTTCATTTTCCGACGGTAGAGAAACCTGTAATATTAAAAATATTAAGTCAAAGAGCACTTCAGAAATATGTTTAAACAAAATAATGATTAGAATATTCGCATATATACCTCTGAGCTGTCCCAATTAGAATCTGTTTCTATAAAAAAAGTCAAGAAATTTACATATTTGTTCCATTAGATAAATATTTACCGAATGTGGATATTAACATTGTGATAGTGCTTTCTACAGATAGTTTACTTTATCTTTTTTCATCTTGATTTGCCTTGAAAAATTAATTATACACAAGTGTCCAATTTGTCCAAACAATAGAAACAAGGAAGTTTGCCAAAACAGCTAAATCCAGATAATTATTATTCGCCATAATAAACAAGATGGCGGCATATGTCGATGTTTAATGTTTAAAAACATATTTTTTTAATTCAAATATGTTAAGAAAACAATTTATGTTGAAAATGTTTGTTGTTGTCAAATCAATTTGGTAAGAACCGACTTTCTTTTGACGTTTTTATTTTCCTCATGGCGACCTATTCTTGTCAAAAAAAGGCATAATTCTCTGTAAACCGAAAAAAAAGGCAAACCGATCTCAAAGTGTCCTTTCGTAGAAACACTGCAGACAGTAACGTTTGTCAAAATCCTCATTTAATTCGTTTGTTATCGACATGTGACCATCCTTTTTTACTTTTGTTTAACTATATATTTTCATGTATCAATGCAAAATTTATAAAATAATTTTAATAAAAAATTATTACATTTTATAAATATAGCTACAGTCCATATATAAATATACGGCGGTTGGAAGATCAAACAGCAAGTTTGCAAAAACATAAATTCTTCTTTATGTTTACCTTCTGTATCCTTCCTCTGGCGTGAATCAGATTTCGAGACTTTGTTTTCCGGAGTTTTTTCGTTTTTTGATCTTTCTCTGTTTCGCTTGTTGTCTGACATTCCACTGATATCAGGATCTGAAACTGAACTAACTGGACTGTCAAGATCTAATCCTAGGTATTCTGCTGGGTTTTTGGTACCTGGAAAAAACAAGAGGGTATCCAATGGATTCATACTCAAACAAATTTCACTCTGACTGATGTCGAAATCTAAATGCGTTGAAATTTACCTTGAATTCGTTCCCCTTGTGGTTTCACTGTGGATGTTAATACTTTAGGTTCATCACGATTACTGGCATCATCAAAACTAACTTCACCCGACATCACTGAATCCTCTTCTATTTCACTGCCACTCAGACTTAACCCCAGTTCATCTGCGAGATTTCTGTTCGACTGATCACTGCGGGGAGATAGGAAACTTGGGGAATAACCTGAAAATAAAAAAATACCATTGACCTTGTAAATATAAATAGGGAATGACATAGGGGGGGACAGGGGATAATAAGGGTCTTAAGGTTTTATATGGGGTCAGAAGGTACTCAGCCTACCATTCCTACTTGCAGCTCAATGCTGAGAGCCTAATTTAAGTGGACACAAGAACACCTTATCGAATCTAACCACCGGGGGGTGGGGGTCAGGGGATTTCAGCCTTTTTTTTCAGGTAAAGAAACTTGCTTTAAAACTTACCTAATGATTGGTCAGCCTTCTTTTTAGCACCCTACAAGAAAATAGCAAATTTGTAATAGCAAAATATATTTCCTTTACTGCATTCAGAACAGATGGACCGTACCTGTTCAGAGTCGGTATTTTCTTCAGAGGGCTTAAGATATTCTAACGGCAATGATCCTCCAGAGACACGACGATCTAATCTCCCTTGCATATTTGAACCAGACCGAACAGATTCCGAAGGTGATACGACGCGGGATCTGGGCTGGGGACTAGTCACGGCAGGGGTGCTTTTCCCCGATGTTGCACTCTTCGCTGATGTTGTGGGTGAAATTGGATGCTGTTTATTGGTCGAGGATAACTCTCGAGGCGAGCTAGATTTCTCCGGAGAGGGGAGGCCCCCTGATGTAGGAGGGGATGAAGATACAGGGCGAGGAATCTTACTGGGGGGTTGATAAGTTACTTTCTCAGGGGAGCGAGCTTAAAAAAGATGGGGGAAAAATGAAAAAGATGGGGAAAAAATGAAAATATATTAGATTAATAGAATCACGGCCCATGAACCAATGTTAGAGTTTAGAATGAAATCGCAGTTGTACGAATTGCTGTCTCAAACAGTTTCTACCTGGAGTGGTGCTTGGGCTTGCCGCTGAACTACGAACAGGAATTCGGCTTTGACCTAAAACGATGTGGAAATAAAAATGGGATATTTTTACCAAGTAAACCCATATATTGATTGTATGTACTAGATGATACATTCGTTAATACAGCAAATGCACTGTAACTGATAGCTGTAGGACAGCGTGGTTGATAAAACATTCATTTTTTTTCCATGACCAAATCGAGAACGCTGCAACTCTGGTTCTCTGGTAAAAATCAAGTCCTCCTATCTTCTGCTTTTCTTCCGTCAAGAACGGAATACTTCAGAGACAACGCTTAAATGCGATAGAAATGAAATTAAAACCAGCTTGAACAAACAGTATATAACGCACCAGATTCATTTGATTCACTTCTTTCTACCTTCTTCAGGGCTGCTGCTAAACTGACTTTGGTGGATTTCTGTGCACGAATGAAAAGTACTATATGAGCCGTTTTTACTTCTAAATTTACTTCTACTTTTAAAAGATGGGTAAGAACATGATTGGAGCAAGGTTGGGGTGTGGTCAAGTTAGGGTAGTGGGTTACGCTATGGGAAAGGGGTCTACGATAGAGCGCGAGACGAGTGTCTGAAGAGCCCCTCTCCCCAATAGAAGAGAATTTTTTTCTCTCATGAAATTTATATAATTCACCTTGTTAGGTTCAGAAATATCTTCGTCAGTGTCTTCACCCCAGGAATCCTCTTCTTCTGATTGCCTGAAGATCAGACAATATTTTTGTCAATTTTAGAAAGATTGCAGTTGCAAAGGTACATTAAAAGCTTTTTTCCTACTATTTCTATGGCCGATATTGCATGATTTAAAAAAAGGAATTATCATTGCAAAAATCATCTCCAAACCTGCTCGTGCTATCTTCACTTCGAAAAGCATCGTTGCCGACTTTATCCGCTGTAAGAAGAGAGTTGAGTTATATTAAACCAAAGAATTGCCACAAGCTGTCAGACTGCTGAGCACTGATTCCTACTCTTCTTCCAACCCTGTATATAATCTAATCTACAGTACATTTGGGCTCATTCATCATTTGGGCGGATTCATCAGAGTTCGGTTTAAGATTGGATTTAACTCTCGTTTCTTGGACAGCATTATGGAGAATCATGAACTTCTAAAGCCTTAAGTTAAAGAATTAAACAGGAATAACTATTCAACAAATCGGGAACGCTTCAAAAAAACGCAACTCGTCCTGTGTGACAAGATCTGTTAATTTTCTTTACCAGATCTGGTCGGATGCATCTGCATCTGATGTTAATAATTACCACATTGAGCCCAGGAAGGAACAATCTAACTAAATTTGAGCCGTTTTGGTTAAACAGTTTGCATATCCAGTATGATCGCACTGAATTCATCCTTCCAACACTACTATGTACGCTGCGAAGAAAAGTTGCTGGAGGGAGAAATGAAAATTCCCATTTGGACACGCATGTTTCTGTCCAGCTTTGATCTCCTAATCTTTGATTTAATTTGTCATATTTTGGGGCATGTCAGGAAAGATATGAACCAAGTAAAACGAGATTCTCTGTCCGTTAATAATTTATCAATTAATCGTCTCCCAAACGAGCTAAACAAACCTGCAGGACCACCAAAGGTAAAATCCAGGTCTTCATTAACTGGGGATGCTGATTTTAAAACCTCCATGATATCTGGCTTCTTCTCAATCTTTGCTGGCTCCTTTTTCTCCAGCGCTTTTGCTTTTTCTTTTTCTTGTGTTTGACGCAATTCATGATCATCAATTATTTTAGCACAACTAAAGAATTATATTTTTAATCTTGTAAGAAAAACAGGTATGTAACAGATACTCTATTAATTAGCCAAAATATATTGGTTTTTTGAATGCACTTGACAATGTTAAAATCTTAATTAGTTTGGTAGAGCAATGTTGAAATAATTTTTTTTCACTTGAATTCAAATTAGATGGTCATTAATAGACTATATTGTATACAATGACTGCAACTTGTTTTATGAGACAGTTTCACTGGAATAAGCTTCTAAGGCACTATAGCTGGGATAGCACAGCATCTACCATTAACCGTAAAGCATAACTTGATTGCATGATTGGTTATTGTGGACTCGGTGTTGATTAATTTTCACATGTGAGTTAGCTACTGTATGTGCATGGCAAGAGACCTGTTTTTACAGATACCTATGTATTCCATTCATAACAGCATGATCACTAGCTTTCCAGCCCTGCGCATCTTTCAGGCTAACATCTGCATCATTTTGTAGTAACATCTTCACAATGTCCATATGTCCATCTGCTGCAGCTGTCATAAGTGGAGTTCTAAAAATGAATTTTTCATGTCACCCATGAAACAGCAGGTATTATGTAAATATTTAAAATTTCCTCACCAGCAAGAATATTTGACACTAACAATGCAATGATACTAACCTGCCATGAGCATCAACACAGTCAACATTTGCATGTTCATTGAGAAGATAGAGAACAAAATCTTGATTACCAAGTGATGCCGCAACATGAAGAGGTGTAAAGCCTTCCTAAATTGGCAATTTACAGACCATAATTAGGTCCGTTTTCACAACTAACACATGAAACTAGGTCATGGCAATTGATTTAAGAACAATGGCATGTTGTACCTTGTCACTGATATTGATGTTCATTCCTTTTCGCAGAAGCAAGGTAGCAGTATCAATGAGATTGTTTGCTGCAGCAAGATGCAATGTAGAACTGGCATTGATATCTGTGACCTTGACATCAGCATTGTTATCTAGTAGTAGCTCAATACAACCATTATGGGAACATTCAATAGCCTGTATGTAGATCGAACAGAACAATAATAGAAATGATAACCAAGTGCAAAGATGCAGGACCAGTAGACAAAACCTTTTTTGGTTAATTTGCAATAAAACTATGATCAGCTATAGTACTGTAAGTACTGTACCATGATTTGTGAAAAAAGCTGGTGAACTAGGAAACTTCCACCTGTTACATATATGTGGTTACATTGCATGGCCAAAGTATACAACTCCCTATATAAAGATGTTGAGATTTTGCTATCAAGGCTCTCACCTTCATCAAAGCAGTTCTTCCATCATTGTCACAAAGATTTGTCTTTGCTTTGTTTGCCAAAAGAAATCTTGTGATCTCATCATTTCCTGTCGCTGCAGCCAAATGTAAGGGTGTTCTGCAAATTTGGTTACATAATCTGGTTATTTTATTATACCCCTCTGATAATCATGTTATTTAGCACAGAAGCCTAGAAATTTACAATGAATCTTGAGTCATTTGCCTATCACCTTAATACCCAGGTAAATTGTTCTGCATTTGTTTAAGTATAAACACAAGAGAAATTCTCCAAGCATATTGCAATGCTTTGGCTCTATAGTGCTTGAGTGCCTTTTTCCAGCAATTGGAAACAGAAAACAGTTCAAAAAGATTGGCATTTCTTATTACTTTCAGGCAAGTTACCAGCTTCCCCCCCTGAAAAAATCAGCTGGTATATACCCAATGCAACCATATAAAAGGATCAACATAATGCACCTAAAATAATTAGAGAATTCATGTAATACTATAGTTGCTCTTCTTTCCTTATGTGTGATAATTTAACTTGTCAGAGCATGGCTGCCTAATAATAAATAGGACAATTCAGGTAATAACTTGTCACTTCACTAATGTCTGACCTAGTTCACACCAGTCGTCCAGATAGCTTAGCAAAGTATATAGGAAAGGTTATAAATTAAACTAGTTTGATTATATAAAAATTAAGGCTGAAGGGAAGTTTGTAAGAAGGTTGCTGATCAAACAGTTAACATTATGATATCTTAATTTTCTATTCATATTGACACCTGCAAATCATATTAATTAACCGATTATTGCTCAAAGATATAAGCAAATGACTTTTAGAGTTAGCTAGCAAAACGGCTAAATAATATTATACTTACAACACGCTAATTGTAAAAAGACGAAAGCATATTATACAGCGAACCGTAGCTTTTCCCAATTGCAAGTGATAACTGATTCTTGCTATTAGAAGGAAATATATTTTTCAACCGACGCGCGACGCGGTAACCTAAGCTACAAAGTGCTCACATGGAATAATTATTTACTACATAAGAAAATATAAAATTATTTAGCTTCTTGCAAACCTGTTTTCTTTGTCAAATTGATTAATGTCGGCCTTCTTGCAAAGTTGTTTTACTTTAGTTGTATCCCTACCCCACACGGCTTTATGAAGTTTTGGTAGATCTTTCTCCTTCGCGATAACATAGCCAAATGCGAGTTCATTATCTGCATTTGACCGCACATCCTCTTTCGATGCGGAGCCCTTTTTTCCCCCGTGTTTCTTCAGAAATTTTTTAAGCCCGGCCATTTATCATCCTTGGTAAAGGTCAAGCAAAGTTAGAAGGTTTATTTGCGAAAATAATCAAAGAATGGCATGACTATGTCTTTCAAAATTCAAATACCGGCAATAACTGTATAACTGCTCCGTTTCTTATCAAATTCAACATCAAATATTAATTTTTATCATACTTAGTGTAACACAAACATAATGGATTAAGATAGTGCATTGGCTTAGCACTTCGGCGGCTAGCGTATAAGGGGTCAACTATATACAACCTCGTACAGTGAGTGTGGGTCAAAAGTCTGACTCTAGTCAATATGATTCTTGTCCACTTCATGTGCATACTGCATAAAGTAATGTTATAGGATAATTAGGATTCAACACAAATTGACGCCTCCAATACTTTGACTTTATCTTTGACTTTATCTGGCATAGACAACTTTTGTTAGCCTACTGGTTCAATGTTATTCCAACATTGATTACAGATTTTCCACTGGTTTTCCTTTCTTCTTTCCATCTTCCCTTGCAGGGGTAGCTCTTGGTTTCCTACATCTTTATTTGGTTGAATACAAACCTGATTCACGAAACTTTTCCAACTTTTCTCCTATGTAACTTTCCTTAATTTTTCATCCTGCTTGCATTGCTGATTTCGATCACCTGGCCTTTTTTCCTCCGCTAACTTCTTTGCCTTCCTTGGTCCACAAAAGTAATAATCTGTCTTTCTTGTACAACTTAAACCAAAAGTTAACCGGAAAAAACGTATGGGATGCATTTATCATATAATGCGCAACTTCAGATCAACCTATCCAATATAATTAATTTCCAACTCTCACAAGATATTAATTATTATAAATTAAGAAAAATTATTGATTGGACTCGGACTTTTAACGCACATCCATGTGGATATGGATATGGTGTCCCCATGCGCATCCTGATTTTGCCCTCTTCCCAATGATACTCTAAAACAAGCTTTAAGATTGGCTTTAACACAATCAAAGTTCAATTTTCTTGCTTAATATCATCATTTTTTGTGAGTGATTAGAATGAGGGTATATAGTGGATAAGTGAGGATAATCCTAACGCTAATTTTAACTTATCTCCAGTGAACGTTGTAACTTGCATATACTGGTACCTAACGGCTAACACGCAAAACACCACCCTCCTCACGAGTGACTATAGAGCAATCACTGAGACATGTCCATAATTGACTGACACTGGATGAACAAATGCAACGCCGAAACGGCGGTTTTCACGAGATCGTAACTTAGCCTTGAGACTAAACACATTGGCTGAGGGGATATCTGAGGAATGTGGGGGTCTCAAAAAGGTCTGTCAGTGTTCACTTGCAATTTCGCCTGAGATTTCAGGTACCTTTAGCCGGACTGGACTCGGCTAGATTATATGTGCTAGGATTAATGGGTCGAATTAGGATTAAACTTAAGTCACTGCTGCCGAATTGAATTGATTTGGTACACGTTCTATTTTTTGGTCATCCGTTTTAATATATTGATTCCGTTATTTTCGTAGTCATTTCGTAGCCTAAATTTGGTTTTCTCGTCCGACGTGGATCTCTCAAAGACTCAAAGTTACCATGCAGGGGTTTAATTCTAAAATAAAACTGTGTGCATACCTACCGAACTTTCTCCAACATGAGACTAAATGAAACGAAATATTGCTATCAGGTTTGGTAAAGATGCGTTTAGACTTGGTGTCCGTCACTGAACACGACGCTTTCAAATAAAATTGCTTGCAAAAAGACTAGCATTACTACGAAAACTCAAAACTCAACAATGGCATGAATACGATGTTCATGAATACGTTTTCACTTTGACATTGGCTTAAAGACACCTATACTGCCATGACACTACTTAATTCTATACTTTGTCTTCTGGAACAAGTTATAACCCTTGTTCAAGAACTAACAAGCCATAACAAGCTTTTTGTACTGAATTTTGGCAAATTTACAGACATTCATTCAATTCAGATTGAAAGAATTTGCCAATAAATCACATGCAATCTTATCTTTTAATTGGGCAATTAGGATTATCGACACAATTCGACATAATCAGCTTAGTTATGGACCGTTATATACTTTGTTTACGAAAGAAATTGAAATTCGATTTAGCCGGATAAATATACTCATTCGAGATCCTGAAATTCAACAAATAAAGCTATGAATAAATGCAATATAAACAAATCCCATCTCTTTCATTTATTATCACAATAAGAAGGAAGGAAATATATTCGGCACGACTCTGGCGAAGATTGCCGTTTTCCGACCTTTTGAAATGTTATTGTTTCGGCATTTCTTTCCCCGTTAATCCAGTTTAGGTAATTAAGTGAGGATTTTGTCAATTTATCATGATTTGTCTCGGCTGTTAGAGCCACCTTTCAAAACGTCTTAATCGGTTTACTTTGAAAGTAAATTGTCAAAGGACATCATGCAGTTGAGTGTAGGCTGTAAGATGCTGCCCGCTTGCACGAACGATAAATTGATGCGATTATTGACATTGTATATAATATAAAACAATTTACACGACTGATTCAGAAGCATCTTCATCTTCGAATTTTATATTATTCCACATTGAGTATAGTAATTATTTAATTAAGTGTCTATGCAATGTCAATGCCCTAACCTTACCCGCGTGAAAACAAGTTAAATTCATTAATGATTCATGCAACGGGTGTATATAATGTTTGGTCAGTTTCAGACTAAGATATCGTTCACAATATTTGTTATCGAATAACGGCTTCGATGCATGCATGTGATAAAATTCCAAAAGAGATGACTGACATGAAGCATGACTGACATGAAGCATTTTTTAAACAAATCAACATTTACATGTTCCAAATCAAGTAAACAATGTAATACATATATAGCATATATATGAAAATTATATAGTCTTCCCTGAAAGTGCAGCTGTGTGTAAACATGTACATGCAGCTATTATGCCGGCATATACCTTAACTATAGCTACATACAACCATGCTGTGACAGAGTTAAATAAAATGCTTTGATCAATATCATGAGTTGGAAAATAGTCAATTAGAATTTAATTGTTCACGACAAGGAACTGTATAATATTAGTTTTGTACAGGAAGACATGCTGATAGGCACATGGTTCTATCCAATTGGTTTTTCATTTTTTGTTGATGTCCGCGTGGTTTGTATTGACTGTAAACAGTTTGTTTGCATGTTTCGTGTTAGCATAACTTTGTCTTTGCGGCTTTAAGAAATGCTCCCGTGTAGACCACGATGAATTGCATATCTCCTAAAAAAGGTGGTTAGCATGCACTGTATATTAATTAACAAAATGGATTATCTTAATTAATATAAACATGCAACCTCTGAAATATTTTTTAATTTGATGAAAGTTTCCTAATAAAGAAAATGAGTTAAATGTGTTTTGCAGACACTACATCAATTTACATAGATCATCTTTTGCAATCTAAAAAGCATCTACCAGCTATAACCGCCTGTTCCTAGCTGGGTTTCGTTGCATGTGATGTTTTGTGATTCCGGTCGGGCTCAACTCAAAATCGATGCACAAGCATGCATGCGGTATAATAGTGAAGTAGCTAAGTTGATTAAAATAACCCCAAAAATTTGAGGAACACCCTCATATCCCCAATTAAAACATATGAAAACAAGGAACAAATTTATTTCTAAAACATTTACTCAGGTAAATTAATATTTAGTAAAACGTAAATCGATGGTATAACTGAATTGCGCATGCACGCAATAAATTTCCTTTTTCACTTCAGAAATATATATACTTTCCCCCCTCTACTTTCCCCGGGGACTACATAACAAAGTAGAAAAACATCGCGTTGGACCCCTCGCATGCAAACATTCGCCTTTTAGAGCAACCTATATATAAGAACAATAAGGTTGAGAAAACGTAAGTTTTTTGAACGAAGCCAAAGGATTTGGTGCTCATGCTGTCTGTCATACATGCATTGACACTGTACTGACTACCGTCAGTTTAGTTGCGCAATTTGTGCCTAAGATTCGGCGGGAAATCTTTCTAGGACAAGAACGCCCAAGTGGCCCAAAGAGCAGACATGAAATTAAGGCTCAAACCTCCTGAAAAATATCAGCTGGTACGCGCCCATGCTTTACTCTTTCGAGAGCTAGTATATTATAGTATATATAAACATGTGTAGTACTTGAATTTTGACGTCAAGGGTGTTATAGAATGATAAGTTGTTTTTATGTTTAAAAATCAAACAAGTCGTGTGCAAGACCCACACTCACTGCGTGTGTACGTCAGTGTAAATTTGCTTATCGCTATTCAAACGACACAGATATGTTTATTTATATTTTAGCTGGTTTTTTGCGTCATTGGACTGGTTATACGTACTATTTTTGCATTCCTTGGGTATAAGGGTCAAGTTGTTGTATATTTTGATTTGTTGATTACAACTAGCCAACAGCCGTAAGATATGTATACATTTTAGCATGTTTTTCGTCATAATTTGCCGATGGTTATTGTTGCAGGGTGATTAGTGATTATTTATCTATCTTCATCAAAGATTCTCTTCATCAGGTCAATACTATATATATGCATAACAAGAAGCTTAGAGAAGTAATCTGAAAAAGAAATGGTGAATGTGGATACCCTGGACTCTGGTTCACTATTTATATTTAATATACCTCAGGTTCTTCTAAATCAAAAGCTGCATTTCAATACGCTTAATCTCTTTATAAAGCCTCATGTGGTATCGCCCGATTTAGTCGTAAATGTGGTGAACATGTCAAGGTGGCCGATGTGATATAATATTTTTCTTTTGAAGAATATTTTCTATGTGTGTGTGTGCAGTCCGAAATAAATATTTAAAAACCGAAGTAAAGACAAATTTACATCCGGATTATTTTTTATTTCCGACAATGACTTGTTCACAACAATTTTGACCAAGGCATAACAGTTTAATCTTATATAGACAAACAAAACACCTGTATATTGATTGTTTGACGCAGAAATAAAGGATATTACGCAAATACATGCTCAATGTTTCTTCCTGAGCAGTCGACTGGGGTATTGTTTTTACCAAAAAATAAAAAATATCTCAATCTATTTTGATTCGGAACGTGTCTCAACGTAGTGTCCGTGTAACAAGTGTTTGGTCTAGTCTCACCCGGAAATTTAGTTTT